TAAAAATTTCTCGAAAATTCCACTGAATCCTGATATTTTTACCATCGAATAACTGTTAGTTTCAAAAGGGTTGATTTCAGCTCACTGCGTCTTCTGCTTCAAAAAGCCGTACCTTCCCAACTGGGGCCAGTAGAAACTTAAAATTTACACAATATTTAGAAGACAGTCCATTTTACAAATGATAAAAATTTCACGAAAATTCCACTGAACTCTGATTTTTGCCAGCCGAGTAAACGTTGGTCTGAAAATGGGTGATTTTGCTATGCGCTGTATGGAAATTTGGAATTATTTTTGAATAGAGTTAATGAAATGTAGCGTGAACCACAGGGAACAGAATACTGTAATTAGGAGAACCTTTAGAATTGAACAGAAACTCTTTTCAAGATGGCTACACTTCCGGTTATACCGGAAGTAGGTATCAACTTGCTTATTTTGAATGGAACACCCTGTATATTATTACGTTTCTTAATTTCACGTCAAATTCCAAATATGTTTCATGTATACAGGGTGATTTACGTAGACCGTGCATTAGAAGTTTTCCAACTTGAGAAGAAGTTGTGTAAGAAACAAAAAACCGTTATAACCAGTAAAAAAATACGCTGGTCTTTATGAATGACGTTTCAACGAAAGGAAAAAAGTTCGTTTTAACCGAAAGTCCACTATAACCAGGTTCATTATAAGCGGACTTTACTATAATTAATAATCATGCCCAGACGCTTAAATTATACAAACGAAGATTATTTAAACTTTTTTATTTATTATTTATGGAGTATGTGATAAAGTTATATCAAGAACCGTTTATGTATTATTAATTATTATTATATCAATCACTGGTATTAAGACGTATTCAAAATTCTTGAAATTTTCTATAATTTGTTTAACAGCACAGCATGAAGGCTTCTGTTTTTGTGGATATCGAATGACAAATGTCACAAATGGCACATGTTCTTGATACAGCCTTATCACGTTTTTCATAAATAATTTTTAATTATATTTAGATTTAAATAATCTTCGTTTGTATGATTGAAGCGCCTGGGCATGATTATTAATTATTTTTAAAAGGTATCTGACAGCTGTCTGAATCCCTTGGCATGTTATTGTATTAAAAATGGCCAGTTTCGCCATGGCAACTAAGAGTGACAGGATGTAGATGCTGCAAAATAGCCAAATGAAAACTTTAAATTGGAAATATTCCGAAAACTAAACACTTTTGGAATAGACATCGTTAAACAAACTTACACTTATTTTTAATACGGAATATGACAAAATTATCAAAAATGGGGGTTTCCATTTGAAATAATTGATTTTGGGCGGTTTTCTCAACTGTATTTTGAAACTAATTTTTTTAACACTTTGTATTAATAGTTTTTAAAATGTTTTCGAAATTCCATTAAGGTAAGTCCTTTTCAACAATAAATGCGACTCAAATTAAGTATGACAAATTCCCTTATAGGAAAAATGAATAATTATTCGAGTGGCTGCAACTGTCATTTTTTACATAAAATTCCAAATATATCAAAAACGGTTACACTTGGCTACAGGATATTGCATATGAAATATATTTCGAATTTGGAGTAGAATTCAAAAATGTAATCATATATAGGGCGTTCCATTTAAAATAAGCAAGTTGCTACCTACTTCTGGTATGACCGGAAGTGTGGCTATTTTGAAAATATTTTAGACCGTTTGCCCCCAATGACACTGTCCAATTTTCAAATTTCTGCTAATTACAGTTTGTACACACACGAAACATCAGAACAGAAACGCTAAAAAGAACAAAACACTTTCGATCACTAACATACAAGGACAAAGAAATTAGTACAAATACCGCGGCAAAAATATATAAAGTGATCTGCAGAGCCCTCTTGGACTACGGACATATACTCATCGCCAACGGAACAGAAAGGACAAAACGATACGTACAAACAACAGAACAAATTGCACTGAGACTAATAACACGAATAAGACACCCCCAAAACCCACTGCACAACCCTTCCAACCAACTACTCTACGAACGCACAAACATGACAAAAATTTCGGAAAGCCTAATACACTTGCAGACAAAATGGACAAACAACCCCCACAACTGGACCATACTGGATCCCCTTTGCCTCACAAGACCGTTGGGGAACGAAAACACTCCCGTTTTCGTTCCACAACAGATACTTTACTAGAACACCTACAAACGCAACTGAACTAAGGACTAAAATATGTTTGTTTTGTAAGCCAAGAATTTTAATTTTTTTCATTTTTTTTGTATAGCTGATTCATTTATACGAGTTTTAGGAATAGGAATTAATTTTAGAATAAGCTAGGCTAAGACACATATGTACTAAACAAGGGCAGAAAGACCGATTGGGTCGATAGCCTTTTTCTGTAGGAAATAAAGATTA